TTTCAAAAGCAAGGCTCAATTATATTGTGTCCTTCATGCTGTTGGAGACCAAAGTCGTCACAACAAGAAGGTGCTAAAAAGAGAAGTTGGAAGAAATAGGATGATAAAAGAAACACAGAATCAGCCCGGGACTGGGGCTGGGAATTCACGGTGGAATTCCTAATTAGAATTAAGAATATATTTTGAGAAGTCCCAAGTTACGGAAAAATGACAACACAACACAAGTTTAAAATAAGAAAATAGTTGGACAACAAAACCTCTCAAAAAGCCTCTGAAAGCACTGCTCTGGCAGCAAGATTCAAACTGTACTGTCTTTTGATAAAACAGGGGTATTTATTAATTTCTTCTCTGGTCCTTGATCAAGGGGGGTTGATCAAGGGCAGGAGAATCTCAAAGGCCTGGGATTGGCCAATAAAACGGTAATCAAAGACGTTTTGGCGCCAAGACAGATGTCTTGGCGCCAAGAAAGTTTAATTTTTTTGGGGGAGGGGAAAGCCGTTGATGGATTTTGTCCATTTTTTACACGCAGGTGGTTTTCCACCCGATTAAATATTTATAATTGATTTTCGATTTGGGTTGCGCAGCGAGTCCCCAACACATGCTAATTTGCCTCTTGTCTCTTACTCATCTTCTGTAAAATACCTGTTTTGATAATTTATATTAATGAATTTGCCTTTTTTCTGGAATTTGCGACAAGCAGTTGACAACTGGGAGGATGTCGGTGACGGAATTATTGGGGTGGCACGGAAATGAATTTTATTTCCTGGCCACTGAGGAAGCAGCGCCATCGCAAAGCCATGTTTATAGAGCCGATCTGAAGTCGAAAGTTTCACAGTGCGTTTCATGCTCTTGGATCAACTCCAGAGGCGAAACTTGTAGCAGAGCCAGTGCAGATTTCAGCGAACGTCTGTCTTACTTCATTTCCAGGTGATTTTGACTCCTACGTTTTTCAATCTGAAATTTTTTTTGCTCTTATTGCTGAGATACCAAATATTGGCCAAGAAAATGTTGACAGTCTTTAAAAACTATTTGAGGAATGCGATTACACGCCTAAAAATACCAGCAGTTTTGAAAGCGCAGAAATCTCCACCATTCTCAGCAATTCCTTCGTTTAAAGATTTATAAAATTATACCCCGTGGGAAATTCGTTGCGGAAAAATCGAACTCAAATAAATTTCAGATTAGTTCTTGTGCTATTTACTTTTATACTTGTACTTTCCATGTTGAATCACTTGTCGAAAAAAGTTTGTTCCCAAGTGGTACAACGCCTAATTTATTTCGTGATGCTGTATATACTCTACGGGAAAATGTTTTTCGTTCAAACTTGATTTTGTTTTCAAGAACCCGAACATTTTTTTTTAACTTGTGAATCTTTTTCAGAAAGCATGAAGAAATCATACTGTTTCCGATTATAAATGAGTACTCAAAGAAGCGCTTTTCCCGAATCGTTCTAATCGCTTCCTTAAATTTTTTTATATATATAAAATTGTCTCATGACAAGACACACGGAGTATAGAATATTACTGTATATAATAAAAAAAAGAACGATGACCGGATTAATATGATCTGGAAAAAAATAAACGGGTTAACCAACGGTGAGGGTGAAGCCTTGTTCTGGTTCAATAATGGCGTGCATATATAACCTTACCGCATAATTGCGTGCTGCAAAGTGCCTTTTCCGGTCGCTAGGCTTTTCTATGAATAGACTTCGGGAAAGCTTCACAACATTTCCTGATTACAGTATAAGAAACAGCCCACTATATATTATGATATAAGTGCACCTTAAAAATCTAGAATATACTCCCGTTATTTGGAGCAAAGAGATTAACAGTGGAAAAGAAATGTATGAAATGGGGATTTTTTTCGGAAACGGCGATGAACATACATTAATTTGTCTTGGAACAAAATTTGCATTGCATCCATTGGTAAAACTGCTGTAGTCGGGTGAAAATCGGTTTCGAAGTACTGTGCAGCCAAAATCAGGATGCTGAAAGGCATCAAAAACAAAGCGAGGATTACTTCATGGCTCAAGTGTGAAAAAATACAACGCTGATCATCATTCTTCAAATGAAGATCCTTTGCAAGTTGTTTGGTCTAATAAAGATTTTGAACCGAAACTACTTCACTAGAACAAGAATAATTCCCAGGAAAATAATTTATGCTGGCTCAAGACATTCAGTGTTCTAAAAAAAAATTAACCTCGGTCAGTGTTTGTTGCCCTGGTGCATCCAAGGTCAAAACAAAATGCATCTTATATTCTTATATGGTGTTTTTTCTTAAACCCATGGACTTTGCAATCAATACCCCTTCTTGTATGAATACCATATTTAAACAAGTACTGTACCTCATCTCTGCAGAAATATAAGACACATACACATGACATATGTGGGTGTAAAATTTTTTTGAAAAATTAAAATCATGAAACCATTGGTCTTAGTTATAACTTATAAGGGAGTCTTTTTATGAGAAAATAAAAAAATCATAAAATTTTACTTAGTTAGGCAGATAAATTTAAAAAAAATTTGGTCAGCAAAAGCTGGGGTGCACATCATAGGAAAGCATAGGTTTTTGGGCAAATTCTTCGCAAAAAAAATTATACAATATGTTGGTGTATATTATATGATAGTGCAATTTATTTTTGAGTAAATATGGTGATTCTCTGTATGCAGTTGAACCTCTCTAATGAAAATTTTTAGGGACCAGGAAAAAAGTTGACTTAGAAAGGTTTTGTTTTAGGGAGGTTTTGATTTTGGAGGTTCTGAGAAAAACAATCATTTTTGCTGCAAGGATAAGTAATAAAGATTGCTGGAAATTTTAAATGAGGATGTTCCGGGCCTAAACTTGGCTCATAATGAATTACACCTTGCTGAACTTTGATGCGGGGGTTCATTTGCTCATCTATAGTCTTTCACTTCCTCTCAAGATGCATAAAATCATTTGTTCCATTGATTTTCTCTTTCATATTTCAAGGAAATAGTAGCCAAAAGGCCTCATAAATTTGACTTACAGAGGTTTGGGTGTAAAAGACTTTGATTTAGAACGGTTTTTAATGCATTGTTTCTAAGGAATTTCAGACAGGGACTTGAAAACAAAAATTGAGTTAGGACAGGAGGTATTCCAATTAAGGAAGTTCGATATACAGAGGTTCAACTGTATTTAAATTTGTATTCCGAAAACAGGTGTGAAAGCAGGTTCTTGCCACCGGAATTCAACCTGACCCACACGGAAACCATGTCCCCCATTCGAACCCTGGCCAACAACACGGAAGCCTTCCACGGCATCAGTTCCCTCCAACTTCCGCTTCAAGTCGACTTCCGGATCCCAGTTTCCGATGCTGACCGGAACTCCGCCGAAGTTCGCCTCCTTCTCCCGCCAGGGTTCTCATCAAAACAAAAATACCCCCTGCTAGTCACAGTGTACGCAGCACCCGATTACCAAAGCGTCACTGACACCTACACCGGCGTCGATTTCGGCATTTTCGTGTCGAGTGGCCTGAATTACATTCACGCGTCGATCGACGGTC